AAGTCGACGGGTGACACAATTTTGGCAATCCTTGGTAAAACTAAATCCACAAGTTCTTCATCGTTCAGACAGTTCAGTAGTTTCCTAACTCTCGTCGTCTTAATGAAACCCGTTTCCGGGAGGTTGGCAAGCCACCCGGTTTGTGCTCCGGGTAAAGACGAAGATGTTCGTTTAAACTCTTTTTGTTTTTGTAAATTTTGTCACAGTTTTGACATGGGCAATGAAGACGAATTACTGACTCGGAGTTAAGCACATTTTCCTTAACTCGACAAGACATCCAAACAAAAAATAAAACGCCACAATAAAAAACAATTAGCAGGCAAAAGAAACAATACGTAAGTACTTTAAATGTTGGATGTCGCCGCGTCAAAAAGCCCGCCAAAATTGGACGACCCTAGCCTGAGATCACGCCCTCTCCCTATTATCCCTCTTATGTCTCTCACGGGAAGAGGGCATGATACATTTCTTTGTCGGGTCACATGCAAAAAAAGCCAGAATCTGGACTTTTTTCTGATTGGATAGGAAACAATATGGATGATTTGCGCTATTCCGATTGGCCAAAATGCCGCCATTCGTTAGTTGTTGTTGATTTCAGTCTACATTTTTGCTTGCGTAATGGGCAGTGAATACACACGCGAGTTCGTTATGAAATTTCTGTCAGCTCAGTTTTCTTGAATTTGAAGAATGCCCAAGTAGAAGTTCCATCCATTGAAATATTTTTCATCTCATAAAGGAGCAAAAAGGAGAGGGGGAGGGGGGAGGGAGAAAAGCACGAAAGAGGGGAAAAGGGAAGGGAGCGGCTGCTATAAGAGCCGGTGTTTTTGTAATCCGCCCACCATTTTCTGAACTAATCCGATAATGTCACTGTCCATACGTGACCAATCACAAGTACGGGGCTTCTCAGCATGGTCCGAACTTAATTACTTTGTTTACCGGAAATTGTCAAGTTGAGACGCTTTTTTCAAGTGATATCATAGTCGAGCGAAATGCCGTGAAACATTTTTACTGTTCTTGCTTCCGCAGCAAACACAACAAACATAGACTACGAGCAGTCTCTCATTTTTTACTGCTTGCAGTCTACGACAAACAATGATCAGTTTCGTGTAAATACACAAGACCCTTTATCTTACAACCTCATCAAGCACCGTGATGGTCACAAAGAACAGAACATTGGTCAGCCTGAGACTCGAATAATGAAGGTAAAGGAGAATCAGATAAACAATTGTCAAAACACTCAACGGATAGTTTTTACCAAAGCTTCAGCTCTCTCTTTGCAAACCATTTAAAACTCCATGCAAGACGGTATATGTTACAGTTTTCTTGATGCCTTCGTCATGTTTGTCTCTCACACTAATACACACCAGGATACACGCCAATGAGTTACTCATTACGGCTCAGCTAATCAGCTTCCGCAGAAATGAACAAAAGTGGGTTATTATAGCAGGCGTCCTTTCCCCTCTCTCCCCAATACCCCTCCCTTTTTCCCTTTCTCCCTATCCCCTACCCCTTTCGACGTCTGCTACGCAGGCTAGCGGTTGACGGCTTGTTAAATGAATGTATCAGGCGTTATTTTTTTCCCTCTCGAGCCAAAGCAAAGAAGCAAAAAAAAAATAATAACGCCTGATCTCAGGTTAGGGCGACCCGTGACAATGAAACTGACTTCGAGAGAGCAACGAAGGCTCCATCAAAACTTCTTTAAAATCAGCAAATATAAAAAAATAACATTAAGACAAACACGCCATTCCCAAAAACCAATAACAGAGTAACATTTACTGTTGATAAAGCCAATGTCCAGTACATAACAAAGACATAAAAAAGCTAACTTCATACAACGCACGAGTACATCGAGCTTACGTTTGGATTGTCTGCAGCGCTCCTCCCCAAAAGCTGTTAAAGCACTTAACAACGCAGCTAAGGAGTTTATCTTCTTGGCAATAGCTGCATTGTACAAACTACCCAGTGACAAGTCTTCCCACTTGTTGATGGCGAAAAGTATTTAACTACATGGAGCTCGCATCACGCCTACCAGCCGCCGTGATTCGAAAACAGATTGAATTGGTACGCGCGTTGGTTTATGGGATACGGTATTAAAATTTCTTTCCCCAGGCCCCCGTAATGACGTCGCAGATCACCTGGTTACTGCTTGGCAATGTGCAGTTTAGTTTAGCCATATTACTTAGCTATTTTTCGTCTGTAGGTTCATTTTTACATTTTTCTTAAATATTAGTCCTTTTTTGTGACTGTATTGGTTTGTACTGTTTTCAGACAACTCTAAGGCTATTTTCTTAAAATTTTTACAATGTTTTCGCATTTTTTGCATCCTATTTTTGATGTATTTTCAATATATATGCGTGCTTCTGCTTTTCTGCTTCTGTGGTATTTTAATACTATTTTCAAAGTATTTTTATTGTATTTGCAAATACGAGTATTTTACTAAATTTCAAAACCGATTAAACAGCTATTAAAATATATTTTGAAACATAACATTTTAATAGCGTTTTAAACAGGTTAAAACACGTTTAAAATCAGTCGAAAAATATATTAAAAATATATTTTTTTACCTAATTTAAACCTGGTTTTTTTTTTTCAAAATATGCTTAAAATTGTCATCGAAAATAGTTTTAAAATGGTATTGCAAATTAAAATATGTTTTTAAAACTGTTTTTCTCCTGTTTTTATTCCTATTTGAAAGGCATTTAAAAACTGTTTTAAACCTATTTTGAGCTTTGCAAAAGCCCTGGAATTTTTTTTATATATTTTAAGAGCCAGTTTCTGTAAAAATCGAAAATCCGGCGACAGTTTCAAAATTTTCAGTTTCTTCATATTTTGCCCAAATAAAGCCTTTAGTGAGTTATTTTCGAGGTCCCAAAGCGCTCGAGTTTTATCAAAATCGAGGAAAGTTTGAAAATCGCCATTTTGGCCTCCCGCCGCCACTGAAAATTGACAAAAATGATGCATTTTCGTTTCGCTCGTGCTGGTAAACGCGATAACATCTAGCAATGTACTTTTGACATTTCATAGCACTTCACTTGCTCTTTCTAAAACACTTGATCACTTTTGAAAAGCTGTCAAAATAGTCTTATTTGTCGCCGTTCTAGTTACCACTTGAAGCGGGTGAGCGACTAGGCTAATTTTTGCTTACTTGTACTCCAAGAAAAGCTCACTGGTACATAGAATTTGAGGCCAAAACTAGTATGCTCTTAAAGCACATCATTTATACTTTATTGTGTGAAAAGGTTTTCCGCGGCCCGCAAAAAGTGTCCCGTAGAGAAACGGAAACGTGAAGACCATTTTGCCATCTAAATCAATTTATGGAGCGACATGTTTCCCTACATACTTACGCAAACACTTAAAAAAATGCTCTGGAAAACCTTCTACATGTTTCTTACCGCTTGAATATCGGATAATAGACACATATGTTACCGTCACCTTTTGATTTTTAACTCATTGTACCGAATAAGTGCTAAAAACGCTTTCATTGCAGACTCGTGTATATCAACACGGGTGTCAGGAAAACTAAGACCGTAGAAAACTAAGACCTAAGACCCGTCTTAGTTTTCGAGATTACGAAAACTAAATGAAATTATTCCATGAGAAGGAAACAGTCGACGCCTAGCTTTTGTGTCTAGCCTGCATAAGAGGCTTTTATTTTATTTAGTTATTTCCTTTTTTTGCATTTTTCAGGAAGCGCCTCACCATCACGAGTGTCTGGCGCTCCTGCGCCCGCTTTGCCTGAAAAATGCGAAAACTGATAGAGCCTTTTATGCAGACTAATGTTCGGCTGCCATTGGATACCTTACCTGGTGCTTCGCAATGAGCAGAGCAGACCACGCTTTTCTTAACGAATCACAGCCTGCAGGGTGAACCATATATCCGCGAGAAAAAAAACGAACGGGCGAGTGATATTCCTCAACCGTCATACAGAAAAAACCCGCAGTTCTTATAGAAATGGTATTTAGTGGGATTTTAGGCTATCTACTAGGTTCTTAAATAGGTTTTTAATTTGATAGGGGCATCATAGCGATCAGCCCGACAAGAGAGGATAAAGCTTATCTTGGCACCGATAACCATTTTTTTTTTTGTTTTTATTTCATTTGCTATTCCAAAGTACATCAATTACAATTATTATCACAAAGCATACATGCACAAACGGACTACACACCTAAGCACACGCTGCAATTCCACAATCACCACACAAGGTATGCCTACTGTTATTTTACAAGTGCTATTCAAAAAAGAAGAAACTAATCATTTTTGTAAAAGAACAAAAACTATTAAGATTACAAAGACCATTTGTCCATTAATTTTTGAAAATTCTTATTCTTAGTGCAAATATATTTTTCTATTTCGTATTTACCGTTATTCTAACTATAAAACTGTTTATGGTTGGGAGTAGTTCATTCCTTCTGCAACTCCATAAATATATTTTCCCAATAAGTATAAGATAATTGAGCAAGGGGCATTCAGAAGATAAAAAGCCGATCCAAATTTCCTTTAATGTTAGGTGAACTAGTTGTTTTCGCATCCCAAAATAATATGATTCAATACATTTCCAGAATGAATTCGAATAAGGGCAGTCCCAAAAGAAATGTCTGATAGTAAAAGAGCACAAGTTGTCTGTCCTGTACCCAATCTTGAACAACTTTGAGTTGGTAAAAAGTATAGAAGTAAGTATTTTAAATTGAAAGGCTTTGACATAAGGTTCAAACGCGACAGAATGAGGCAAGAGAAATGCCTTTCTGAGATCGTCATTAGATAGATTAAAATCCAACTTCAGTTTTTGTGCATAATTTGGGAGACAAGCCTTCTTTTTTATCAAAAAAGGATAATAATCTTTTGACTTCATTTTTGCTATGTCGAAAACGCCGCCATCGATTTTAAAGGAGGGTATTGCATTAAAGGTACTCGAATCAGAGCGATTCAGAAGAACTTTTAAGTTGGTTGGTATTGAATTTCTCATACTAGTCCATTCAAGGAAGTTTGTCTTTTTAACATTTTTTGCGATCTGTTCGTAGGATTCCGTATTGCTGAGATCAAAATGTAAGTCTCCTATTTCCCAGATACCAATGTCGTAATATTTCTTGTAGAAAAAGGGCTTGTCGTCTATTCTAAAGTCTCGATTATTCCAAATTACATAATGCCAATCGTTATTAAGAGCATTATCTTCTCGGAGTTCCGACCACCATTTAAGTAGTTCTAAATAGAAGGTAGAGGTAATTTGAAGATCCCTAACATTAAAATTGCATTTAAAAAGCATTAGACCTCCAGAATCTTTCA